AGCTACCGCTCCTGTAAAGATTTAGTCTCTGAAGCCCTATAGAGGGCTGCTGTAAGTCACAATCAGCTGGGTAGCAGTAGATTTGGGGTTTTGTTTTTATTTCTTTTTTAGCTGTTTTTCTAATACAGTCTTTACTATTCTATTTCCACCTGTTGGCTCACTCATTTATTCTTTGAGGGCCATCCTGACTCCCTAATCTTGGATCTCTCTTTTTGAGAACTTTCTCCACATATGTTAGTATTAGTTTGTATGTGAAAGTTTTCTTGATCATTACATTTCTTCCCTCTCATTTTCCTCCCCCACCTCCCCAAATTGGATATAAGTTCCTCTCCTCTTATGAATTCCTTTAGCATTTTTTTCTTGTTTCTTTTCTCATGTTATATGTTGTAATGACTTGCCCAGTATCACACACATGTATTTTCAGGCACATAGAAGACTAACTGGGAGTATATTTTAGTCATCTCTGTATCATGTGCTCCGAACACATTATATGCCTTCAAATCATCTTGAAATGAATTGACCAGTAGGTGGAATAATATGCCCCAAACCATTTGACAAGGAAGGGCTTTAAGGATAGGCAACATTGAGCAGAGGCTTGCTGGTATACTTGTAAGCATACCAGATATGGAGACTACTCTGGTAGAATTTGTGCTCTGAGAAAATTAGAATACACATTTGCTCAGACACATTCAGTAGGGCACCACCCAGGCACCACCCAGTTCATCAGTCTCCTGGCCAAGAAGGTCGTTGTTCATGAAGACAGCTAGCCACACTTGGCGTTTACCCTCCTAATCCTTGACGAAATTGCTCAGAGCCATTGAGGCTGGACCAGCCCATCAAACTATTCCCCGAGATGACTTTAAACCCCAACCCAAAAATGTTTCCGGAAGCCTTCTTTAAACCAAATTATAGTTTTGCTTCATTAGTAAAGAATATTTATCTTGAGCACTGTGCTCTTATGGGATCGAATCAACAGCCCCTCCTCCGAAGGTTCGACGGGAAGCACAGGGGACTGTGAGCTTATGTTAACAGGGAGGAACAACTTGGTAAAAGAGGGTGAGGTGGTGTACGCAACTTGAAGAGTGTGATGAATGCCAATGACTTATACATGGAAAGATAGTTGAACTGCTCTTCGTTCTGTTCTAACAACAAAAATAAAATGTTTAAGAAAACACAGTAAAAACACAGGAGGTCTGCCACGGATGGGTTTCTCTAAATATCAGTGGTTCGAATGTTGAGTCAAACTGGAGGCTCCAAGGATTCCTCTAAGGGCCTGTCACACTCTGGATTTATATCTGTGTTCTGACACTCAGATAAGGGCTTATTTAAAAGGTCTACCTACCCTGCCTCGACTCTGGACTAGATGATTTCCTTAACCGTTTCTCATCAGAGCATTAATCTCTTCATGACCCAAATAATTTTCTACTTTGAAGTTTTCGTTGATACCATGTGTCTTCAACAATGGAAGGCATACTGAAATCAAGGGGAACACTTTTTGGAAGTAATATGGATTTTGATATGATTATATAGGACACTTGTGCCCCCTGCTTCTTTAGATGCACATAGTTAAACAGCTGGAATAGCTGCTTCCTTCGAACCTGAAAGGCTACAAATGTCAGTGGGTGAAATATGACCCATGGGTCATAAAACGGCAAAACCTATTGCGGTGCAACAGGAGTAGTCTCTCTACCAATAGTGCCTTACGTCTTTCCTCCCATGTGTTTACCTTTAAACCCCACCCCTTCTCAGACTATAGGGATTTAATCTGTTCTTTACATTTATCTCAATTACATACTTGATTCCAGGAGTTTAACATTTTCTGGCAGTATCATTTTTCTGCAGTATCTACTCTTTAGCTATAAAAGATAAACAGATTGATGGTGCTAATTGGAAAGGATAGAAATCCAGTCAGACTCTATTTTTTTTGTTCTGTGTATGTTTCTCTACTGGGCCCTATGAAGGCTAATTAAAAACAGGAACTATCTAAAACATTAAATGTATATAACATAAATAACAACAGAAATGACAGTTTTCTTCCAATTAGATTATTATCACTTCTAAAGAGATCGTCTACTTCTACAGGTATCCTCAGCCCTAAGTCTGACAGTTTCTCAATTAGGGCGTGAGTAGTACTTTTCCTTTAGGAGCGTTTAATGAATTGGGTGATTTTTTTTTTTAAATTTTGGCCTTGGAGTCCCTATTTTTTTTCTAATTCATTTCCTTTTGGTACACCTTTATGTTACTATTAAGACATTTTAGAAATGTATGTGTGGAGGCTTTCTATGTCTTTCCTTTAAGTTTTATAAAAGGGGTATTACAATTTTTAAAAAAATAGGAAGTGTTGGATTTGATGGGAGCCCTGGTGGTATAGTGGTTATGCATTGGACTGCAATCCACAAGGACCACTGTTCAAAACCCCAAACCACCAGCCACTCCTCAGGAGAAAGATGGGGCTTTCTACTTTCTTAAAGAGTAGCTGTCTCAGAAACTTACAGGAGCAGTTCTACCCTATCCTATAGGGTCATTAGGAGTTGGCATCTACTCGATGGCCGTGAGTTTGGGTTGCGTTTAATATGTTGAAGCTTACTGGGCTATGTAAGCTTTGTACTTTATAGTTTGGTGCGCAGATGTGTTTGGCAGTGATGGTAATATAGTCAAGTGTCAGAATGAGTGGTAGATATTTCAAGTGGTGTAGGAAAGTAGAAAAAGTTTGTTACAAACTTGAGACATCATGAAATGTCCTCTGGAGGAATCCTGCATATTGTGACCCAGGCACTTGCCATACCTTATCTTGAAGCAACAAATGACCAGACTTGTCAAAAAGACTGGTATAGCAAATGAATCATAGAACTTTGAGTTGGAAGAGCCCTAGGAAATCTAGAACAGAAATTCTTAGTTCAGGGTTGGTGCCCCCATCATGACTCTTGAAATTATCTAGACAACCTTGCATATTTGTGAAAGGAATGTGGTTGCTAGTTCTCATTGAATTCCGAAAGGGTGCCACCATCTCTAAGCAGTTAAAGGTCACTGATCTAGTCATAACTTAGGCCTAGGCAAATGGCGTGCTCAAGGTCACGTACCCAATTAGTTGGCAAAAGTGGCCACTGAAAGCCAGGTCTTTTAACTTCTACTTTCTTGTTGATTTCACTACACCCAGCTGAAAGACATGGACAAAGGCACAGGCAGGTTTGTAGCAAGTGGTGGAAACACTAAGCAATCAGTTAGCTGCGTAAGATGGAATCAAATGAATGATGTCTGTAAGTTAAAAAAGGTTAAAAATTAAAGATGGGTTTCACTTGATCTTTTCAGTGTGAACTGATATTTTTGTAGTTGAAATATGTTGCCACTCACCAAAAGATGGTCAGAACTCTGTTTTCTCAGCTGAAGACAAACTCTCTTAGAGATACCGTATATACTCAAGTATAAGCCGACCGGATTATCAGCCTAGTTACCTAATTTTACCACAAAAACTGCATAAAAATGGTGCTGAAAAACTTGGCTTATACACGAGTATATGCGGTATTATCCTTGAGGCTCTTTCTGAAGTTCCCTTTCGACTTGATATGTTTTTTCCGACCTTCGGTGACCTCTTAATTTTCTGCCTAATCAAATAAAAATTACTTTGTCTGATTTGTCAGATCTTGTACTACTCGAGCCTCTTTAGCCAACAGGCACCCTATGCCCCAATCAGACTTGTTTCTTTCTGCATTCTTGTTGCTTCCAAGTCTCCCAAAGATCTTCCTTCCCTACCACTCGTTCTTTCTTCAAGGTGCCTGGTGGCATGGTGGATTATGCGTTGGGTTAGCTTCATGGTCAGCAAGCAGTTCAACACCACTAGCTGCTCTGTGAGAGAAAGACGAGGCTTTCTAGTTGTTTAAAGATTTAGCCACAGAGACCCACAGGGGCAGTTCTACTCTCTCCTGTTGGCTTGCTGTGAGTTGGAATTGACTCAATGGCAGTGAGTGAGTGTCTTTCTTCAAATGGTTCCCCTGCTTCCTGGAATGTCTACTGTTAGCCCTTCTTTATTTCCAGATGCATAGTATAAGGTCCAGCATGTCTGATCTCCTATCAAAGCCTTTGACTCTTGACCATTTTGTTCTTCCTATTGTGTTTATCATGTGTCCTGCCTCTAGGGGCACGCAGTTAGATATTATCAGTGTTTTTCACTGGAAATACTTCAGTGGTTACCTTGGGAATATGGTTGAAAAAGCTCAGGGATGGGACTCTGGAAAGCACCCAAACCCTGTTTCATTTAGAACAACTCCACTTTAGTTTTATATAGTGGCAAGGCTGAATGAGCTTTTATATGCAGTAATAGTTTAGCTACCAAGGGAAAAAAATGGGGAGGGGGGCATTGACTCCATCTTGTATGGTGGTTTACCGCATATGTGTTAGTTCCTAATGGGCAAGGGCCATGACTTTAATTAGTTCATATTCCTACTGTTATTCCTCAGGCAACTGGTATAATTTTGAGCACAAAGTGAACAGTTATGAAATTAATTTACTGATGACATTGTTCAAATTATGAGATAATGCATCACATTACAGCAGAAATTTACTTTAATGAAGAATGCAGAGTAGTATTTCTTGTTTCCCTTTGGGAAAGAAACATAAATTGGTGGAGTTTTCTTCCCATTTGGGTACAAAATCGAATCCAATTGAAAGGTGTATGGTTTACATATACATCCTTAAGTACCACAGTTGGTCACTCAACTTATTAGTGCTACTCAACTGACTTACCTAAAAATCTAGGAGAAAAAAATTAAAATTCGGAAATTGATGTATACTAAAATGCACTTAAGGCAATAACAATAAAAATGGAAAATATCAGTCTTTCAGACCAGTTATTTCAACTTTCTTTTAATTATCAAATCAATTATATAAACTCATAAGGGCCTGATTACTTTAATCAGTGGTGCTATCAACTTGTTAACTCTTGTTTTATTTTGTTCCCCTTCCCCTCCCCTGCCCTTTGCCTGGTTCATTGTCTTCACCTACAGGTGTACTTTCCTGTCGGCTTCCAAAGATTACTAACTTTTAACTATATCATTAAAATTGAACTGCCTTGACTATACCGCTACTCTTACTGCTGCTTCCATTATTGCCTTCTTCAGCCAAATAAGGCTTCCAGAAGCCAAAGAATAGCAAGAGTTAAACATCACTTTTAGAAGCCTTTTCACTATGAATCTTAAGTTAGATGTGCTCACCATTATTTTGCTGCCTGTCCACTTGCTAATAACAATATACAGTGCCCTTATATTTATTCCATGGTATTTTCTTAACAATGCCAAGAAGAAAAACGCTATGGCAAAGAGAATAAAAGCTAAGCCCACTTCAGACAACCCTGGAAGTCCATATCGCTCTGTCACGCACTTCGACTCATTAGCCGTCATAGACATCCCTGGAGCAGACACCCTGGATAAATTGTTTGACCATGCTGTATCCAAGTTTGGGAAGAAGGACTGCCTCGGGACCAGGGAAATCCTAAGTGAAGAAAATGAAATGCAGCCAAATGGAAAGGTTTTTAAGAAGGTAAAGCCTCTCTCTCTCTTTGTGTGTGTGTGTGTCTGTGTGTAATCTTGATATTTAAAGAGAAAGGTTACATTTTGCTTTATCATAAATTTTAAATTTCGAGCACAGTGCATTTTAAATACATTGGCATTCTATATTGGTGCTGAGTGGATTAATTCTCAGAAGATGTTCACTTAAGGACAGATTTAAAGTTCTGTACTTTGTTGGGATCAATTTACTAATATTAGAGGATGTCTTGCTTTAACAGTTAATTCTTGGGAATTATAAATGGACCAACTATCTTGAAGTGAACTGCAGAGTGAACAACTTTGGTAGTGGACTCACTGCGTTGGGATTAAAACCAAAGAATACTATTGCCATATTCTGTGAGACCAGGGCCGAATGGTTGATTACGGCACAGACCTGCTTTAAATACAATTTTCCACGTAAGTCCCTTGTGTTTGGGGAGCATGGGGGAGGGGCTCATATGTTAAAATAGCCTTGTGTTGCTTTTTCTTTCATAGTCGGTGTTAGCCGTTTTTTGCAGTATTATGCTTGTTAAACAGTGCTATGGTTAAACTATCTCCCAATCAAGTTAATGTCTAATAATAGGATGGGAAGTGGCCATTTCATAGATTTAATATAGAATTTGATTTTTTCAATTGGAAGTAAATAATAACTGAAATATTCAGGTTTGGGGATGTTTCTTAGGAAATGACAATATAAAATAATCACTAAAACAAAAAATTTTCCTTAGGGTAATTCTCAATTAGTGCTTCAATATAAGGGTTCTTATTGGACTTCATTCCATTTTATATGTGAAACAAGCATGCCATTAGACTGAGACAGTGAACATAGGTATGCTTCTGCTTCTCAAGCATTCATTTTAGAATTATACAAGAAATAATTTTAAAAAATATTCTAGGACAGTGCCTCTCAGATACTAAGCATTCAATTTGTTCAATGAAATAGTGCAATATACATTTAGGTTTCGTGGAGGAATCAAGAGGCGTAGGGGTTGACGCATTGAGCTGCTAATTTCAAGGTCAGCAATTAGAAACCACCAGCCACTCTGAAGGAACAGTTGAGG